TTTTGCTCAGCCTCTCGAAACACAACCCGTCGTACGGCAAGCACTCTTGTAAAAAGGCTCGGCCAATACAACAGAATACAGCCCCGCACCTCGTCGACCTGAGCGCAAAAAGAAGAGAAGAGACCCAGCGCATCGTGAGGCTGGTGCTCAGCTGAGTCGTGCCAGCAAGCTCTCTCTCGGGGGGTTTTTTTTGTTGGTTGCAACGGCGTCCTAAGAGTTGCAATCCACGCATTGCAGTGCAGCCATTCTTCTCCGCCTCGCCTATATCGCCAAACGGCGCCTCTCCCTTTCCCCCCTTCTCGATCCCCACCCAGATCTCCATCCCAGCATCGACCTCTGCTTCCCCACCGCAACAGCTCAGCATCCCCTCGCACCAACACCACCACCAACCTCGCCTCACACCGCCTCGCCTCGCCTCCAGTCCTGGGTGCCTTTGGAATCGGCACCGTCCCATCGTCGTGTACGGGCAGACAGGGTCACAGCGGCTGCTGTCTCGCGTCCCAAACTTTTTCTTTTTTGGCTTGGCCGTGGCCTTCTCCTCCTCCTCCTCCTCCCTCTCCTCGCTGGCTCTGATCTGCTGCCATCGGCACACACACACACACACGCACACGCTTTGGCTCAGCCTTGGCGCAAGCCTGCCTTCGTCCAACCAACCAACCATCAGGCCGCCTTTCCCTTCCTTGCCTCTCTTCTTTCTTTTCGTCCTTCATCCTTGCCCCCTCCTTCGATCCCTGTTCGCTTCCTGGCGCTGTGTTTGTTGCGCCCCCCCGAACCCGACGATCCGTTGGTCAGGCCTTCAAACTCACATTCCTCCTTTCGGTTCCACCTTACCTGGGCCGTCCAGACAGAGCCGCGTTCGACTCCGCCCGGCCTCACTTGGCTTTCCACCTCTCGTCCATCCCTCTACCATCCCACACGACCACATCCTAGTCATCCACCACCACCTCCATCGCCTCCTACTCTCGACCTTCTCATCACCTTTTCTTTCTTGGTCCGTCCTACAACTGCAGCTTCCAGCTCAGATCGACCTCCTCATTCGGCATCCATCCCTCTCCCGCCCGTGCAGTCTTCTCCAGCATCGCTTTGGCGTCGACGCTTCTCATGCAGCCAACTTTGTGACCACGCCTTCGTCCGAGTTCGAGCTTCCCCACCCTCGACGCAACAACGCTCCTTCGCTAACGCGTTATGCTCGTGAGCGCTCCCCATCAATCGTTTGACCGTCTCGCCGACTCTCGACCACACCACGCCAAGATCCAGTATCCTTTGCTCGTCGAAGCCCTCGCGCCCAAGCACGCCATCGACGCCATGACGCTCTCGACCTCACACGCCGACACGACGGTGCTGGTCGACGACAACTCCGCACCCATCGCCAGCACCTCCTCGTCTCCATCGCGAACGCTCGTGCAGCCCGTGCCGACGCGACCCAAGAACCACGTTCGCGGCGTCGCCTCAGATTCGCGTCTCTGGACAACAGGACGCAACTTTGTCGAGGGACGCTATCGCGAGCGACAGTCCTACGTCACGGCGCAGGAGCAGAAGGAGCTCGAGGCCGAGCGCGACGCCATCCTCCAGATCCAGAATGTACAGGCCGCCAAGCGTCGAGCCAAGCTGATGAGACTCACGCCCGCCTTCCCTTCCGTTCCCAGAGAAAACGCCAACACCCCAAGCCCGCCTTCCAGCGAGGCTTCCTCAGCGCGCACCGCGAGCGAGGCCGACCTCGCCACACCCCCCGACAACCGCCTCCCCTTCCCCAGCCCCAAGACGCACATCAGCATGGTTGCAGCGCAAAGCGCCGCGACGGCGCTCCATCCCAGCTCGAGAAAGGCGTTGGCGCTCAAAGCCAACAGCCCTGGGCCCGAGGTCCTCGGCGGTCTCAGCCTCGATCTTCACTGCTTGCCATCGCCAGCGGGCGACCGAGCATCCATCTCGTCCACCGCTTCCGCCAGCTCGGATCTCGTGCGCAAAAAGTCGGGCGAGCCTGTCAAGTCGTCGCTCAAGCAGTACTCGAGCAGCTACATCGTGCCGCGCTCCGCCAGCGAAGCCACCTTCTCCGCCTCGGCCTATGGCACCAAGTCGGTGCCCTCGACCCCCGGCGCCATGAAGACGGTCCACTTTGACAAGCAACTCGAACACGTCAAGATCTTCAAGGTCAAGGGTCGTCCGCAGGCCGTGTCGCGCGAAGGCAGCCCCGAGCACACCGAGACCGAGACCGAAGAGGAGCGCGATTACCCTTGGTTCGGCTCACGCCGCGGAGGAGGTCCAGGGCGCAACGCCAGTGGCCACAAGAGCCCCACCAACCCCACCACCCCTCCAGCAGCCGAAGCAGACGAGCAGCTCGTGCTGCGCCTGCCCAACTTCCCCTCGTCCGCCAAGCTCTCGCTCGACAAGGACATCTTCCTCGAGCGCATTTACCTCTCGGACGATCTGCGCTCTGTGCGCGGCACTGTCCAGGTCAAGAACCTCAGCTTCGAAAAGTGGGTCGCCGTCCGCTTCACCCTCGACCACTGGGCCACCGTCAACGAGGTGTCGGCCGAGTACTCGGAGAGCATCAAGGAGGGCATCGCCGACCGCTTTGTCTTTTCCATCAAGCTCAACGAGGTGCTCAACTGGCCTCGCGGCGCTGGACTCAACGAGACCAAGACCATCTTCCTCTGCTTGCGCTACACTACGGGTGGCCGCGAGATCTGGGACAACAACGACGGCGCCAACTATCAACTCGACTTCCGCAAGCGACCAGCCCAGCCCACCGAGGCACCTCGCGCACCGCCCGTCTCTAGCGAAGCACGCGCTTCGTCGTCGTCGCCGTCTTTCGGCAACACGGCGCCACGAAGGTACACGCTCAGCTCCATGGGTCCATCGGCCACCTCGTCCATCATCGAGATGGGCCGCAGGACCGGTGTCTACGGCCAGAAGGCCACACGCGACCATGCCATGGAGCGGCTCAAGCAAGAACTCGAGCGTCTGCGCTCCGACGAGGAGGAGGCCGACAAGGCTCCGGCTTCGGGCAGCTTCATCACGGAATTGGCCAAGCGTCGCTCGCCGCCCGGTTCGCCTGGCGGCGCTGGCAAACCCGGCTCGCCATCTCCGTGGTCGGCAAGGTACGACTTTGGCGCCTCGCTCCGCGATCCTTCCAATGGCAGTCGCAAGACCGAAGCTGGACGCGCCGCCGCGCTCGACTACTTTTCCGCCCGTCCGCCCGCCATGGCCACCAGCCCCATGCGGTCGTCTTTTGTCGTCAGCGCCGCTACGCCATCTCCCGATGCGTCGACGCCCAAGACCGCCTCCGAGCTCGTTCCAAACAAGCTCGGTCGACTTGGCATGTTGAGCCCTGGGTTGGGCGAGGTGGTCGTCGAGCACCCCGCCGTGACGGGTTCCAACACGAGCTCGCCCAGTGGCTCTCTGCTCCAAGTGCCGCAGGTACGCGCTGGTGCGGCTCTGAGCTCTGATGACCCTGCCTCTCCGACTCCCATGTCGTCGACGCGCTACAACTCGTTCCCACCGCACCGAAACATGCACGCTCCCAACATGTTTGGCATGTGGGAAGAGGATGCACAGAGCGGCACTGGCTCTGGCTCGGCGTCGGCTTCTGGCTCGGCGTGTGGCTCCCGCTCCAACTCACCGCCGTTTCCGATGGGGTTCTCCACATCCAGGGTAGCGATCAAGAGCGACGGCACGATGCTTGAAGACTACACGCCCGACGGCAGCCAGGCGTCTCCCAACTCGATGACCAACTCACCCAACCCCTTCTCGCCTGCGCTCTCGGCGAGCTCGGCCGATTCAGACTCGACCGCGATGCTCGATGCTTCCGGCAAACCGGCGGCGATGGCGAGCAGCTTGGATGATCTGCGAAACCTCGGCGGCCCCTCCTCCTCCTCGTACCATTACCTTCGAGCCGATCATCTCGAAGGCAGGACGAGGCCCTCGTCGTTTGCAAGCGGAGACGAGGCAGAGCAGCACGGCTACTCTTCGTCGGCTCTATCGTCGACCACGCTGTCTCCGTCCTCCGAGTTGGCCACGCCCGACGAAGAGTTCATGCGACCTTCCAACCTGACCAGCTTCAACGAGCTGGTGGCGCGCTTCTGCTGGAACGGCGACAACCAGGTCCCGCAGACCAGTCCTGACGTCGCAGGCATCGCAGCGCACACTCCCACCTCTGCCTCTGGACGATCGACGCCCATCGCCCGTGCTGGCGGTGCCTACTGAGTCCAAGTCCACCGCACGATTCTGAACGACGCATTTGACGGCAGCCAGCCGCTCACTGTACACTATCATCTTCCATCTCTTCCTCGCTATGGGGCATCACTTCGAGAGACCATTCCGTGTAAAGGGTTCACCTTGCCGGCCTTGACACGACGACTACACACACACACACTTACACACACACATGTTGTTCCGTTCCATTTCAAGCCCTGTCAGACCACATTTCTTTCGCATTCAAGTTCGATACGCATGCCGCACAGGCACTCAAATACAATTTGCATTTCTCGTCACTGTTCAAGCTCTTTGGTGTGCGCGTCTGTGTGCGTTGCGCGATGCAATTGGGTGGAGAGGCGAGGCAAGGCGCCCTGCCGTCCGACGTCTGCTTGGGCAGATCGCAGCTCGCTGACGTGAAGGTGGAATAGAGCACTCGATGCGGATGCGAATGCGGGGAAAGCGCGGGGAGGAGCCAACGGCCAAGCCACACCGCGGCATCAGATCCTCACCCTCACTCAAGCGCGCAAAAGCGAACATTACCCCCGCGCATCACCCACCCGAACAGGGGGCAGTCAGCATTTCGGGGGGATCATCATGCTGCATTGGGGCGATTTGTTTGCGGGGGAACGAGCCCCTGATGCCGTGACGACGGGACCCCTTTGTGCGGGGTGCAGTGTGAGACCGATCCGATCGTCAATCAGCGGAATCCGAATTGATGATTCACCTTCTGGGTCCGGCCCCTCACGCTGTCTGGGATTGATTGTATGATATATATTATGTATAGTGCGATAGACAGACAACAATCGGGTTGTATGGAGTAGTTGGTTAACTTAGGAGATTCTGATCTGTGTCCTGCAGCAGCAGGATGTGATACGACTTTCTCTTGCCCTGGGTTCGAATCCCAGTACGACCTCACTTTTCTTGGCGAAATTGTGAAGAAAGGATCGTGCGAGGCAGATTTTTTTCTTTCGCGCTGTTTGTGACATGCATGCCGAAGCGACGACAACAGTGGAGCGGCTCGTATCAAGCCAGATTGGCTTGGCGCAAAAGAAGAGTAGCCGATCAGAGTGTGCGTCGGTTGATTACAAGTCATGTAGATACCGAACAGCACGGGAGACAAAGAAAGGGGACAGCGCGTATAGTAGCGCTGCGAGACAAACTCGCCTCACGAGGCTGGGAGACGCACGCGAAGGCTTGCAAAGTCGTGCAGCTGCGCTCCCTGCGCTCCACCGACTGCCATGTGACACGTGCGACCGCTTCCGTCTGTACAGCCACAACACCGGCTCATCGCCAGCCCTCGCATCGGCCTCACAGGCAACCTTGTTGCACGCACTCGCACACAACACAGGCAGAACAAAAGAGGGGGGGAGGATGATGAGATTGAAGAAGAAAAAAAGCTGAGCAGAGTCAGCAGCGTGAGCAGCGTGAAAGAGGAAACGTGAGCGATGTGGCCTTCGCTGAAGGAATAGGAACGATGATGCGAGAGAAAGAGATGAGTGAAAGGACTATGACGAGGAAAAGAGTGATGGATCGGGAGTGGAAATGAAAGGGCTCGTGCACTGAAAGGGAGACGAGACGAAAGATGATGGCGGGAATGTAAATAGGGACGTTAGCAAAGATGACTTTGTGATGGAGGATGAAGATAAGGACCGTGACGGTGGACAGAAAGGGAGGCGATCAGAGACGACCAAAGAAGAATGCAGGACGGCCTGTCTATATCACGAAGGGAGCCGTGCGACTACAAGACGACTTCGTTGAGCGCGTTTCGAACTTGAAGACTTCTTTGCAGCTTGTTGACAGACAGCCTTACGCTCGTCCGATCGGTTCTGAATCAAGGTGTATCGGTCCGTTCTTCCGAGCTGGCTCGCTTGCGGATCAGAGGGCGCGCCGCAGCTTTGGCCATCTTGTCCCACTCGATGAAGTCTTGCAAATGTTTGGGGAGCTCCGAAAACTGGTAGAATGCCTTGTCCCCTATAGGCTTGCCGTCCAAGCTTTGACGGGAGTAAAAGACCCCGTTGTTCCTCGTCGTCTCGACAAGCTTCTCTGGCCCTTTGTCAGGCCAGTGGTAAGTCAGGTAGTTGACGCCGTCAACAGCTTTAGTCCATTGTACATCCTTCACCGTCCCGGAGAGGACTTCTTGAAAGTTCGGAGAGGATTCCTGCACCAGCCTCTGCTCCTCTGGTTCCAGGCTATCGAACGACATGAGCATCACATTGTCGCCCTCAAAGCCGTTGAATGGCCAAAAGTTTGCTCTTCCGGCTTTCATCGAGAACCTGATGCCTTGTCCCGGGTATTCGAACTCCTGAGAGGTCTGAATGCCGTAACCCGGAGTCGTGGAAGGACTCAAGCCAAGGCTCTTGAACCACCTACTCCGCGGTGCATCTACGTCGCTGGGAGAACCGGAAGATCCGCCTTTGCCAAGCGTTACGGTTGGAATAGAACCACCACCTGCACGCGGCAGCAGTGTCTCTTCACCAGCTGGGATGGCTCGCTTGCGGACATGAGGCAAGCTACTCGCCTCTTGCATGACTCGTTGAGCTTCCTCTGAGGTCGTCAGGTAGTGTCTGAGATGGTCCGGCAGGTCCCCGAGCTTGACAAATTCGTGAGTGAGAAAAGGGGTTTGTCGCTGAAACTCGAGCTCGCCGTTGATGTTGCGGATGTGGATTTGCTCTGAACTCCTCTCTGGATTGAAGACCGCGTTGTCAGTGTCAAGGACGTCGTTTGCCACCTTGATCCTGTCCTCGTACAGCATTGCCTGCACGCGCGGCAGCTCGCTCAGCTTCTTTGAGTCGTAGGTCCAGCCTCGACCCTGTGCAGGCGCCAGATAGTGGACAAAATCGCCGTCAGGACCTTTAGTGACAAGGATATGCTCTCCAGGATACGTCACAGAGGGCACTGGACGGGATGACGCGATAGCCTCCCTCAGCAGGGGGCTAGGGTCCGGGAGACCCTGCATATAGGAGCGCAAGTGGGGCGGCAGCTGAGAGAATGCGACCGCACCTCGATCACCTCTTGTGAACATGACCTGGCCTTGTCCGTCGCGAGAAATTTGGATGTTCTCGGATGGATACGAGGGGTGGAAGTACATGTTGTTGGAATCGTAAGGCTGTGATGCGACCTTGATTTTCATGATAGTCCTTGCATCTGGTACTGGCATGCGCGACTCGGCAGTCACAGGAACGTAGCCCAGCTCTGGCCTTTGCCTGACCACCTTCTTGAAATCTTCCGGCAATTCTGACCACGACCTGGACAGGTGAGGTGCTTTAGCTTTCTCGCGGAAGAAGTGGAACTCGTAGGGTTCGCTGGGTCCATCTGCGCGCGTTATCGTCATCGTCTGGCCTGGATAGGGAAAAATGCGCGTTTCAGACTGTAAGCTTGCTGTTCGCCTCGAGGATCCGGCCGCCGAGGAGCCTGTGCCTGGAGGATCTCCCCTCTTGTGCAGAACCGAGAGTTCCCTCTTTCGAGCTTGATGATCGTCGTCATCCGTGTCAACAGCTCGCTTGCGGACGCGAGGCGCCCTCTGAGCCGCTCTTATCGCCTCGTCCACATAGGACAAGTGGGGGGATGACCTCTCCATGTAAGTCTTCACGTGCTTGTCCAGTTCCGAGAATTTGACGTATTGACCATCGGGCCTCTTGAAGACAGTTTCCCCCTGTCTGTTGCGTGCAATGTCGATGAACTGCTGTGGGTACAGAGGATGCTGAATCGCGTTAGAGGCGTAGTCGGGAAACGTTGCAATGGGTATGCCCAGTTGCTTTGCTTCGCTCTCCGTCACGCCATGTACAGCCTGTTCAAGATTCGTGAATCTCTCTGTTAGCGCAGCCTTGATGTCTGCCGGAAGGTTTTCCCACGAATAGGACTGGTAAGATCGTCCTTTCTCCATCAGCATCATGAAGTGTAAAGACTTTCTCTCTTCTCTTCCCTGAAGAGTCATCGCGATCTTCTTCCCAGGATAATGAAATTGTCCCAAAGCTTCGAGAGGTGCCGCCGTTGTGGCATGTGCTTCGCTTGAGGATCCTGCACTTGATGATCCCAGCTGCTTATATTTGGCTTTGTCTTTGCCAAAGGGCCACATCCTCTTCAGCAGCCTCGAAGGTTCGTGAATTCCAGCTTGACCGGTGATAGCGGAGACAACGACAGACCCTTCGCCTTGGTCGCGAGCCGGCACGTTTGGGTCCGGAGGAGTTGAAGCCGAAGCACCGCTCCTCTTGCGCACCTGAGGAAGGCGCATGTGATCGAGGGCGTCGGTGTAATCTTGAGCACCTTGTTGAGAACGTCCTTCCGCCTGGCTGTCCGAAAGCGAAGGTGGGAGGGACCTCTTCTTGATCACCGCATGAACAGCTTCTCCCCAAGGTTTTCCACGACTCTCGGCGTTCGCGTTTTTCAAAGCATCTTGAAGATGTTGAGGAAGGTTTTCGAATTTGGTCCACTTGGGCTCGCGATGTGGAGCATGACGGTATGCAAACTGCCAGAGACCGTCCTTGTTGCTGATGTGGATGTTTTGCGGGAACTTCGCTTCGTGATAGTAAATGCCTTTAGTGTTACTGTCGCCTGGTCTGGGTGAGGGCATGTCGCCAATCTCCAGCCTCTCTTTCTCTTTCAGCTTGTTGACGTCCCAGCCCTTTCCTTTAAGCTTCTTGACGATAGGAATGGTTTTTTCGATCTCTTTTTGGGCCTCTTTCCCCCAATTCTCGTAAGGCACAGGGTTGTATGTGACTTCACGACTGTCGTGTGGCACGTGCCTACTGAAGAAGATCTGACTTTGATCGTGAACGTACATCATTTTCCACCCTTCGCCTTTATAGTGAAAATCTTCACTGTAAGTACTCGGCACCGATGCTGAAGCACCGAGTCGTGGCATCGTTGCCGAGCTGCCACCTCGTCGCCTTGATGTGGAAGCACCTCGTCCAGACGTTGACGACGAAGCATGGTCGCCTGCCCATGGCACCGGGTAGCCGCTCCTCTTGCGCAGACGCAGATGGCCCAATTCAGAAAGGGACACTTTGGGTAGCGGGATCTGATGGAGGGCATCGTTGATTCTGACGCTAGCGCCCTCGACGCGTGCTGCCGCTTGACGTATCATCATGTCCGTGTCCCACTTGGAGCTGGGCGCCCTGTTGAGTTGCACGTAGCCTGCGCTGCTGGCGGTCCGAGACGTACCCTCCATGGAGGCGAAAGGAGCGGGACGGTGCGATCTCGGACTAGCCTCGAAGTTGCTCGTCGGTTCAAGAGCGGCTCTGGCAGCGGCTCCGGGCTCTTGAGTGCTCGCGCGACGGAGCGCGGCAGCTTCGTTGGCTCGAGTGGCAGCACGGTGGCGCTCGTCGGCTTCCGCAATCACGCTCGCTTTCCTGGCCGCCGCAAGCTCTTCGTCCGTCAGCTGGTGGTGCGGATAGACTTCGACTTCCCCACGGTGAGGTTGAAGCGCTGCGATTCTCTTTTCCTCTCTCTGCTGACGAAGCTTCTCCTGTCGCTGCACATAGCTGTTGTAAATCTGTCCCATATACCGGCGCCACTTGGCGACCATTGCGGCATAGCCGCGGCCGTACATCTGCTTTGCCATCGGGCCCATCTCTTGAGATCTGTAGTTGACGGGGACTTCGTTGGCAGCCGGACCTTCTAGAATAGGGGAGGTGAGGTCGCGGGACGGTGGACGAGTATCGAGTCTGCCGCTTGCAGGGATCTGGCTTGACTCAAGGCTGCTGACATGATCGAAAAAGGGAGCACGGTTGAAAGGAGGCGGTTTGCCATCAGAAGCAGGTTGGATTTTGCTTGTACTTCCGGAAGCCTCGGGAACAGTCGGAGCGGCGGATACGATGGTGAAGAGTAGAACAAAGGCCAGCACGCCGACAGCGAGCCACCAGGGCCGCTGTCGGTCAGGCCGACGAATGAGACGCATAGCTGAAGTTCGAGGTT